TGTGGGTTCCACAGCTTTAAGGTCTTATCGCTGCCGCACGTCAGGCAGTAATTGCCGTCCACTGCGTGTGGACACCCCGAGAACGGCCGTGTGAGGGACGGGGGGGCCGCCGCGTCCACCCGCCGCACCGCCGGGATGGGAACAGAGCTCCCCCCGTCTCGCTCCCAGCCCCGTTTCCGCTCTCACCGTTGAAGCGCACGGCGCGCACTGCTCCCTGCCCGCACTCGATGGTCCGCACGTGCTTCCGGGGCAGCTCGGGTCGAGCGGGCCGAGGTCGCGGGAACGCCATGGTTGTACCGGGATGAAACGCACACTGCAGGTGGCGGCGGCGGAAGTTCAAATAACCGCGCCGGAAGCTGGCTGCCGGACACTTCCGATGAATACCGGAAGTTTGTGGCTGAGCTGAAGGATACTTCCGGCTGCAACACAGGAAGTTCACATCTGGGCATCCGCAGTAGCAGCGCCGGAAGCGGGCTGAAGGATACTTCCGGCAACCACTGGAAGTTTACACCTGCGCACTCCCGTAACGGCGCCGGAAGTGAGTGCTGACCACCCGCAATGGCGGACCCGCGGCGGCCCGCGCGGGTTACGCGGTGAGGAGAAGGAGGGGGCATCGGGGGGGTTTCGGGTCAGGGCTCCCCTTCCCCGCTCACGGCCCCGCCCGCAGGTACAAGCCGCCCACCACCGAGAGCAACCCGGCGCTGGAGGACCCCACGCCGGACTACATGAACCTGCTGGGCATGGTGTTCAGCATGTGCGGGCTGATGCTCAAGGTGCGGCACCGGGCTGGTGGGGAGGGGGGGGAAATGAACCGGGACGGAGCTACGGAACCAGGCAGGGCTGCGGGGTGAGAAAATCAGGACCCGGGCTATACGGGGAACGAGCCGGTGAGACTCAGGGGAAGTGGGGAGAATTAGAAGCAGCACTGGGATGGGGGGGGATCGGCACCAGGACCGGGCCAATGGGAGAGCTGGGAGCTGGGAGGGCTGGGGAGGGAGAATCGGGGCTAAAATAAAACTGGGACTCCCTGGGGGGGATCCATCAGGGCCAGGATTCGACTGGGAAGGAGCTACTGAGGCCAGCACTGCATTGAATGGTGCACAGGAATCAAGATTGGTCCAGGAAGGAAATACCCGGAACACACTGAGCTGTGGGAGGATGCTGGGGGGCACCGAGGTGGGAATGGGAGACATTGGGATGGGAATGTTGGCACTGAGATGGGACTGGGGGCTTTGCGGTGGGAATGGAGTGAGCAATTGGGACCAGGCAGGGTTGAGGGAGCACCGAAGAGGACCTGCCAGGCCTGCTATCGGTCTGGGGGAGCTGCTGCCACCATTTGGGGTCTGTTGGGGTTCTCACGGGTGTCCCCTCCTGGTGCTGCAGCTGAAGTGGTGCGCCTGGATCGCTGTCTACTGCTCCTTCATCAGCTTCGCCAACTCACGCAGCTCTGAGGACACAAAACAGATGATGAGCAGCTTCATGTGAGCACTGAGGATGAGGGGTTGGGGCAGGGAGGGCACACTGGGGAGTTTCCTTGCCCTGACGCTGCTTTCCTTCCCCACAGGCTCTCCATCTCAGCTGTGGTGATGTCCTACCTGCAGAACCCACAGCCCATGTCCCCTCCGTGGTGACAAAAAGGGCTCCTGCTTTGGGGCTGTGACAATAAAGGGGCGGCTGTAGGGGCTGAGCTGCTGTTGTTGTGGGTTCACCTACCTCCAAGGGTCCGGCTCTGCTGCAAAGGGAATGAGGCCGTTCTGGGAGGTTTGGGGGGGAGCTGAACGGACCCCAAAAAGGGGGGATCCGTGGGGCTAAGGGACACCCGGGCCCAGAGGCGGTGCCTGCTGCGCTCCTCGCTGCGCGCTCGCTCTACTCAGTTCTTTCAGCTTCTGTGAGAAGAAGCATCACTTCATGACAACTCGGCACCCTATTGGGGGAGGATGTTGTCAGTCTGGTTCTCCACCAATCGACTGCTGGCGGGGGCGGGGTTTTAGGATCTGAGGAGAAGCGCTTCGAGCCTCGCAGTAACTCGACGCCCCATTGGAGGAGAAGATGGACCTCTCCGCCAATCGCGTGCCTACGGGGGCGGGGTGAGGAGCTGTGAGGAGAATCGTTTCCCGCCTCAAAGTTTCCCGACGCCCCATTGGAGGAGAGCGGTGTCCGTCTCGCTCTGCCAATCGCGTGCTGGCGGGGGCGGGGTTTGGAGAACCGTTGATAACGGAAAACCGTAGGGTGTCGCACTGACACCGCCTGCAACGAATCAGAGCGGGGCGCGGTGCCGCTCTGGCCGTCTATTGGCTCTTCTTCGCCGAGTAGGCGGGGCAGAACCAAGGGTCGCCCCTCCCCCCACCCTCGGGTCACGTGAGCAAGCGGTCACATGATCTCGCGCTCGAACGGCATGGCGGCGGTTCGGGCGGCGCTGCTACTGTGGGGGGCGGCGGCAGCGGCCGCGGGCTGCGGGTATCAGGTGGGGGGGGGGGCATTGGGATGGGATTGGGGGCAGCGAGGTGGGATTGGGGGGCACTGAGGAAGGAATGGGGGGCATTGGGGTGGAAATAGGGGCGCTGAGGTGGGATTGAGGGGCATTGGGGTGGAAATAGGGGGGCTGAGGTGGGACTGGGGGGCACTGGGATGGGAATGGGGGCACTGGGATGGGATTGGGGGGTACTGAGGTGGGATTGGGGGCACTGAGGAAGGAATGGGGGGCATTGGGATGGGATTCGGGGCACTGAGGTGGTATTGGGGGGCATTGGAGTGGGAATTGGGGTGTAGGAATAGGATCGGGGGCACCAAGGTGGGAATGGGGGCATTGGGATGGAACTGGGAGGCATTGGGATGGGATTGGGGGCACTGGGGAGGGGGGGTCCCCGGTGCCACTGTGCTGTGCCCCGCTTTGTCCCTGCCCCCATTTGCGGTCACAGCCGGATTTATGGGTTCTGCTTTTCTCTCCCCACCCCCCAACGCATGGTTTCCACTGGACATGTGTGGCAGGGAGGTGTTTTTTTTTGGGGGGGGAGGTTTTGGGGGTGTCACAGCCCCATATGTGTTCCCTCCTCCCTTTTCTACCTGCAGTCCTGTCCCCCCACACGCCCTGGCTTCCTCAACGTGCACCTCGTGCCCCACACACACGACGATGTGGGCTGGCTGAAAACAGTGGATCAGTATTATTATGGCGGTGTGTGACCCCCCCCCCAGGGCTGCCCCCCTCCCCATATCCCTAAAGTATCCCCGAGGCCACCACTCCCCCCTCCCCCAATGTCCCAGACGATCCGTAGGCGTTCTGAAAGCCATCACTCCCCCCACAACATCCCCAAGGTCACCACTTCCATGTGTCCCCAAAGCCCCTTTTAGGGGGGGGTGAAAACTCCTTTTATAGGGACACCACACGGATTGGGATTCTCAACCCCCTCCATTCCCCATATATCCCCAATATCCCCCCCCAGCCACATCCCCAAAGCTACCACCCCCTTCATGTGTCCCCAAAACCCCTCTTGGGGGGGGGCCAAGACCACCTCCATGGGGACACCACATGGATGGGGGTCCCTAAGTCCCTGTAGGGTGGGGGGATCCATCCTCAACCCCCCCCCCACACACCCCACATATCCCCAGAACTGCCATCCCACGTGTCCCCAAAGCCACCACTTCCTCCGTGTGTCCCCAAAACTTCTCCTAGGGGGGGAGTGAAGCCCATCTCTATGGGGACACCACGTAGATGGGGGGTCCCTGAACCCCTA